CCGCGGGCGAGCGCGGTGGGGCGGGCGGGGCCGGGGCCAGGCAAATGGACCTGCATTAGTTATCGGCGTCGCGGATGTGTCGACCCGAGGAGGCTTAGTCGACCCCCGCTACCCCTCTCTTAACCCCTCTGTGCTGCCCTACTTCCAACGGCTATGGCTCCATCCCCACCGCAATATTGTGATTAGCGAGTGAACCTCGACCCGGGCTAAACCTTGCTGTTTACCGCCGCCGTTGAGCTTCAAGGCCGGAGAAACTCATCCACGCGCATTCTTAGAGGCGGGCAAACGAACTCATTTTAGAAGTTTAACTATTGTTTTTCTCCCCTCTCTTGTGCGTTAGGGAAGACTATTCTAAGCGACTGCTTGCTCCGCACACTCGCCTAATATTGCCGGCTACTGAGCCGTGCACCCGCTGACCCAACTTCACAAAGTTTTCTTAATTTCTTCGAGCAAAGTTACAAATACTCTCCTTTCTTTACAATATTGCATGTGATGATGGTGCGGCTCTGCGCCACCCAGCCCATGGAAGGTAGAATGAAACTTTTTTGTTTGATGTTTCTGATCAAGTTTTCAGCTCCTTCACTTTCCACGGCCCGAAGGCCGGAGAAGTGGACCGGTGGAGAAGAGTCGATGGATAGTGCGTGAGAGCATGAGCTCGCCGTAGTTCGACAGTCGCTGATCATAATTTTGGCAACGAATTCCACTTCCGACCATATCCCTTCCTGAGAGAGACGCTATTTTTTAACGACGCGCAGGAATACTCCCCGTGCTCAGGTTCAGGGCAGCGCGACGGCTCTACTCCGGCACTGGATTGCACCACCCCCCTGTGACGCGACTCTTGGCACGGAGTAGGGATGTTCCATACCCCCTTCTATGAATTGTTTTACCCATATTGCTCAACGCCGTAAAGGTTGGGTGTACAACGGCTGCTATACGATGTAACTAGTAAAACATACATTCAATTTATTCAGTCATTTAAACAGTCTATTTACAAACAATTGTATGCCTAGTGGCTTACAAAAATAGGCACAACTTGTAACAAACACATAAAGTTGATGCTGTTCAACATTTCTCGGGATATTTTACAACAGTATCTATGAGTGTTTTAGGTTATAAATGAACCATCCTCGAACAATTGCCTATCATCTTTTTTCATTTAAAAAACTCGGTCAAAGGGTAGTTTACTTGATCACAGTAGCAGCTCATAAAAGGAAGCTTATAGTTGAAAGATGAATGAATTACTCTTAAATGTAATCCGCAAATAAATTATAGTAGGCAACAGACTTCACAGAAGTCGAGGCAGCCAGTTCAATGTGAACTGGAAATAACTAGGCGCCGAAGGTAATGGAATGCATGTTCAATTGACAGGGCTCTTATAACTATGATATGTGTATTCATTTTGGTTAGGTCTGCCAGAATTTTCACAGAGGCAGGGTCAAAAGCAGACTAAGCGGGGTAGCCCATTCCCCACAAGGTATGGACAGAGGTAAGTCCGAGCCTTTTAACTGTCAGTCCTTCACAACCTACATCAACATCACAAAAGTCATTTTACCATATTGACAGAGGGCAGTCAGTTCAAAATCTTACAGAACATGAAAACAGACGAGTCTCAAAAACTTGATTGTATAGCAACCCTAGTAACATGAAACATATCAACAGGCTGTCGATTTGCTCGGCCGTCGCTCGATGGCTTCATGTTCATGGGAAAGACCGCCACCATCCTCTCCCACAACCCTCAAAAAGGAGGCATGCGGGAAAACAAATAGTATCGCTAAAAATCACAAATTAGAAATCTCACTATGCCGCGTAATGATCGAACGAGCTCAAGTACTGCAGGGAAGACCGGTACAGCAGACGATACTGCTCCTGTAAGTACAGGACAAGAATTTTTAAGTGTTTTGTCAATTTTTTGCATGATGAACGATGATACCAGAACCAGAAAGCACTTACCAGCGTGCTAACCATGGCGGGCCGCTGTGAGCGCAGCAGGCGCACTGTCCCGAGGACGTCGACCACGCCCTCCCACTGCATCCGCTCTAGCAGGACGGCTAGCGCGATGAAGACACCGGTGCGCCCCACGCCACCGCTGCAGAAGAGGGTGCTCGTCAGCACGACGCAACCGGCAAACACAATAAAAGAAACGAGAGCGCTTACCTGCAGTGCACGGCGATAGGGCCGTCGTGGCCAAACTGCTCCTTGGTCTTGTGCACTTGGCCGATGAAGTCTATGAGGGCATCCCCCGGCCAGTCGCTCAGCTGGAACTGGCGGATGGTCCTGGACTCGGCGTCGTCACTGACTTTGAACTCTCGCAGCGTGTAGGAGGGCAGGTTGTACTCGGCGAGGGGCTCGACCAGCACCGCGCCGTAGCGCAGGGCGCGCTCCGCTGGCCAGTACTGCGCGCACTTGTCCTGTGACAGAGGACCGCGTCAGGCGTCAGACACGCTCCGGAGCAGGCTGCCACGGGCTGGCCACCGACAGTACTCACCTGCCCCTGCTCCTTGAGCTTTGTGAGCATCACGATGATGGCGCAGTTGTGCTGCCACAGCATCCTCCAGAAGTGCGCCACGGTGTGCGCCAGCGGGCCCTGCGTCGCGATGTACGCGTGCCGCCCGCGGTAGCCGTCCAGGAAGGAGGCGTTGATGTAGTCGGCGCCGGGCTCGCTCCCCACCCCGCTCAGGATGACTCGCGAGTGGTCGTACGGCACCGCGTGCGCCAGCCGGTTCTTGCTCCGGTTCGCCTCCATCGAGGCCGCCGAGAAGCTGACGTCGGGCATTTGCATGGCGTTGAGTCGCTGTAAGACGGTGAGGCATTTGTCACTAACACCGCAAAAATGCACGCCATCCTGCGACCGTGGTCAACTGCAGGAGTAGTGTGCAGTGCACCCAGGGGGCTTACCTTGAATTCCAGGTCCATGCCCACGAGCCCGGAGCCGTCCTCGACCGGTGACTCCAGGGCAAGGATCGTGCTCTGCAGCGCCCTGGCGGACACCTCAGACTGGCCACAAAGCACTGCTTCTAGCAGAGCGTCGTGGATGAACATGTATTGCTCCTCCGTCTGCAGCACGGGAAAGCGAGTTTAGTTTGGGGATGTGTGGCAGAAGCCACCAGACCGCGAGTCGTGCCGTGCCGCACCCACCTGCACCATGTAGTTCCGCTGCGCGCGCAGACACGTGACGTGGCCGTAAACGTCCACGGTGTTCTCGTGCTGCAGGCGCTCGAGCATGGCGTCGAGCACGACGAGGCAGCCGGTGCGGCCCACGCCCGCGCTGCAGTGCACCACGAGCGGCCCCATGGGCCGCAGCGCGCGCAGCCGCCGCAGGTACAGCAGGAAGGGCGCGGGGTGCGAGGGCACGCCGTGGTCCGGCCACGACGTGAACTGCAGCTGGCGCACCTCCCGGGCCGGACCACCGTCCTACAAGAGAGACGAGCTTTGGTTAAGGAAGCAAAACCCAGCGGGATTGCATGCACTGCCTGGGTGAAAATAGTCGTAGATATACGGGAAAAATTTTCATAACGTGTTGTGAAATTACAATTTGATATTGTAAATTTACAACCCCTTCGTTGCGAATTGGAATCGATCGACAGGCATAAGTGGGCTGCCTCATAAATACAACATATTTTGTAAATAAACATTACGAGCAGCATCGAACATTCACGATGATATTTTTCATATTGATTGGGCTGGGGTCAAAGGGGTGTTTGACTTACCTGCTTGAGGGAGAAGGTTCTCATGACGTAGTGGGCCAGCTCCTGGGTGTGCAGGGCCGTGACGGTGCACGGCCCGTACTGCTCCGTGCCGCGCTCGGGCCAATACTGGTGGCACTTGACCCGGGTGCGCTCCTCGAGCCGCGTCACCATGGCGATGGCCGAGGCGCCCGTCTCCCACACCATGCGCCAGAAGTCGCCGAACGTGTTGGCCATGGGGCCCTGCGTGGCGATGTAGGCGTCGCGCCGCCGGTAGCCGTCGCAGTAGTTGGCGTTGATGTAGTCGGAGCCGGGCACGTCCGGCAGCGTCTGCAGCACCACCCGGCTGTGGTCGTACGCCACCACGTTGGCGTACCGGTTCTTGCCGCGGTTCACCTCGAGCGAGGAGTAGTCCCACGTGAACGTCTGCCCCGGCTCGATGCTCTGCAGAAGAATGCCGACAGACGGTTAAAGTTCTGATCTTAGTAGGAATGTGTACAATTGCTCCTCATCACAATGTGGTTTTAATGGGTTGGGTAATAATGCAACACAGTAAAACTCACTGCAAAAAAGAATTAGCTGAGAAAGGTAATGTATTAGCTGGATTCGTGATCGGTAATTAATATTAGCTAGATCAGCTCACTTTCTGGCGGCTAAGGTCATACCCGGAGTGGCTGGTCAGTACTTAAGATGGTGAGAAGGTTGGCTGCTACAGCTAATTTTTGATTTTACTACCTATCACGAATCCAGATATCTGTTTTGGCGTCCTGTTTCTTGTTTCAAGCAAATTTTTCCGTATTCCAAGTGCATGTTAAGACCAGAACAATTTTTTTACGCTTAAAAAACAAATTGGTATTATCTTCCGAATAAGAGAAAAATCTTATTCTAAAGACAATAATTGACTTGATCACTGGAGACAAGGAACTGTTTTCATAAGTGCGTCGCACGCACCTCGTACTCCTGCGCGAAGCGGGTGCCGCCGCCCTCCCGCAGCGAGTGCACGTGCTCGGCCAGGTTGATGACGAGCACGGGCGGGTGCGCCAGCATGGCGGCCGTCTGGCACGTCTGCCTGCGCACGCGCACGGGGTCGCACGCGGCCTGCTTGTCGGTCTGGCCCTGCTGCAGGCAGTCGCTGCTCTGGATGAGCGGCCGGGTGGCGGGGCAGTCCGGGCCGCCGGGCGCCTTGGACGGCCGCCGCCGGCGCCGCAGCATGAACAGGGCGACGAGGAGCGCGCATAGCAGCAGCGCGGCGCCCAGCGGCCCCACCAGCCACAGCAGCCCCGGCGGGCCCATGCGCGCGCGCGCGCCGCCGCGCACCGCCACGCCGCCCTGCCGCTCCACCGGCACGCTGGGGTCGGGGCGCCGCGGCGCGGCCCCGGGCGGGACGGCGCGCATGGACAAGGACAGCGGCTCCGAGTAAGGCGACGAGGTGTACAGATGCTGCAGGGAGAGGGAGAGAAAGCGTGAGTCATACCGCAAGGTTGGACGTGGCCGTTTGAAGCACAAACTGGTCCTCACTTTCTGCGGGGTGTCCACGACGGCCCTGATGAAGATGCGGTAGCGAGCCGCGTGGATCAGCGGCTTGTTGCGGAAGCCGTCGAAGGTCTCGTTGTTGCCCAGGTGGAACGTGTAGGGGATGTTGCGCTGCGGGAAGCGCGCCGCGATGTACGGCCGCAGCGTGAGCTGCGCCCCCGGGTCCAGAGACCACCTGTCCTCCTCCTGCGAGGCGCGCTCGAGCTTGTCCGTGAGCAGCGTGTCCGGGATGGGCGGCAGATACGACGGGAGGACGTCTGGCGGCTCGGGGACCACGACCAGGTAGTAGTGGGAGATGGGGCCGAACTGCTCGCTGGCTTGTGGCAGGATAACCTGCGCGAAAAGTACCTCGTAAAAACATGGCCAAATAAGGAAGCAAGCGAAGCGGTCCCAATGCGGCCCTTACTCGTTGGATACCCGCGAGATACCGACCTGTATCTCCTTGCCGAAGACGACGCCGTAGAGGGCAGGCTGCACCATGGGCTGCGGGGCGGCCATCTGCGTGGTGACCGTGACGGTTGCGGGTGGGCGGTAGGACTTGTCGGCCGGCACTGCCGTTAGGTTGACGCGGTACGTGGTGAAGGGCTGCAGCTGCGTCAGCTGGTGCACGCGCGAGTCGTGGTCCAGCTGCTGGTCCCGCCGCTGCATCACCTGCGTCTGCGTGATGCCCTGCGCGTCCACGAACAGCTTCACCGCGTCCCATGACAGCTGCGGGAGAGCAGGGAACGGTTTGCTGTCATGCTGTAACTTTAGGATGACGTGGCTCTGGTGCGACAAGACTCACCCTGTAGTACAGCGGGTTGATGTGAATGGCTGGCGACCAGGTCAGGGTGAGGCCGTGAGTCGACACGTCGGTGGCCCTCAGGTCGACGGGCACCTCGGTGGGACGGACTCTCACGGTGAGCGTGGGGGATAGATAGCCCAGGCCATCCCGGGTGCGCGCGGCCACCGCGACTGCATAGTCAGCGTGTCTCTCGAGGCCCTGCAGCTCCACGGACTCGGTGAGGCCAACCGAGAGGACCTGCCACTCGTCCAGGTCCTCGACGGGCGTGGTCGTGTACAGCACCTGGTAGCCGAGGACCTTGCCCCTGACCGGCAGGGGCTCCCACCACACCTCGGCGCTGTGCTGAGACGTGGCCGCGGTGCCCACCTTGAGTGGAGCCCGCACCGCCCCCGTGGACACTCGCACGGTTACCTTCGCCGAGGGTGGTCCAGCGCCTTTGGCAGTGTGCGCCCAGACCTGCACGTCAACGTCGAGGCCATCCTCTAATCCGGGGAACACGGCTTTCGCGTGCGTCGACGAGGTGTTCCTGGTCGCGATGACGGGAGCGTTGCCTCCGCCTGCGTCACCGCCAGCCTTGGTGAGGGTGGCCGTGTAGGCAGTCACGTTTCCGCCGCGCTGTGGCCGCTCGGGAGGCGCCCAGGCCACGGCCAGGACGCCGGCGGCCTGCCACCACACCGTCACGTTGACTGGAGGGCCCGTCGGAGCCCCCTCGGCCGTCCACAGAACGACCCGCGCGTCTTGGCCCCAGCCTACCTGCGTTCGCGCGGCAAGCTTGAGCTCGTACTGGACGCCACGCTCTAGAGGACAAGAAGCAAGGATATATTTGTCACACTCGCGCCACAGCTGGCCGAAAGCGGCTACTGACCGCGAGTCCCTCGCACTCACCCAGGTCGTCCAGGATGGCCCGCTGGTCCTGCGCGTTCTTGAGCAGCTGTCTCGGTGGCTCGCCGACGGGCCCGTAAGTGAGGCGGTACCCGATGACGGGGCCGGGCGAGTGCGGCGGCATGAGCCACGTGACCTCGAGGGGCGGCGCCACGGCGGACAGGGCCGGCGGCTGCGTGCCCGGTGCGGGGGCCGGCGCGGTGCGCGAGAGCCAGCGCGTGTGCAGGTGACCGCGCAACGGCACGCCGCCGCGGGTGCGCACCGTGTCCGGAGCGCTCAGCACGCCGCGCGAATCTCGGACGAGCGCCGCCACGCGCACCGAGTACTCCGTCTCGGGCTGCAGGTACCCGGCCTCGGCCTGCGTCATGGCCGCCCCCACCTCCACCTCGAGCGGGGCGTCCTCCTGCGGGGAGGAGAGTGAGAAGTCATGAATGCGAACATTTATCTTTTCACGGCAGCGGCGGCGCGGCAGTCGTCCGCAACCGCATGGCAGTAAAGTCGTATCGCGCCAAATAAACTGCGCGACACTGGGTGGCGGCGGGCGGTGCGCGAGGAGTGCGTTACCTGTTGCGTGGTGGCCTGCAGCAGGATGAGGTACCCGCGCGTCAGGTTCTCGGCGGCCTGCGGCGCCTTCCACTCGACGCGCACCGCCGTGGTGTTGATGGGCCACGTCCGCACCTCCTGCGGGGCGCCCACCTCTGCGAGGACAGAAACATCATTAAATCTCCCCTCCTCGCCGACCTGCGCGAGAATAACCACTCGCTCGGCTGGAGTGGCACGCCGTTTTACGCACCCATATCCTTGGTCTTGACTTGAATGGGGGCGGTGGGCGCGCCCTCCCCGCGCGGCGAGCGCGCCGCCACCCAGACCACGTACGTCGAGGCCGGGTATAGGGTTTCCAGCAGCACGCCGCGGCTCTCTGGGGACAGGCTCAAGTGCTGGCGACCCTGCGGAAGCGAGAGGGGGAGACGTGAAAAGCGGCGTGACATTGTATCAGCTCTGTTGTGTGTTGTAGTGCGGGCGAGCTGCTGCAAACAAGGGCGAATGACTCACCCTGGTGTAGGTGTCGTTCCAGTACACCTCGTAGCTCACGATGTGCTCTGCGAGCGGGAACGGCGGCGACCACTCCAGTCGCGCCCAGGACGTCGAGACCTCCGTCAGGTTGAAGTTTGTTGGTGAGCCGGGCACTGTAAGCGAGGCATTTAGAATGATAATCGTTTCCTAGCAGAAAATATAAAACATTCGAAAGAGCCAAACTGTCGAGCTCGTGTCGCTGCTCACCGCCTTGCTGCGTCTTGACGAGGGCGGGCATGGAGGCGGAGCCAGCGCCCACGGCGGTGAGCGCCTGCACGCGCACGTAGTACACCTGGTGCGGGGTGAGGCCCGACACGGTGGACAAGCGCGAGTCGTCCACCACCTGCTGGCTCCACTGCGGCAGTGGGAGCAGCTGCTGCGTCGTGTAGTAGATGCGGTAGCCCGTCATCAGCCCCTTGGGCGTCAGGGGCTCCTCCCACTGCATGAGCAGCGTGGTGGAGCTGAGCGGCCGCACCTGCAGCCCGCGCGGGGCCTCGGGGTCCTTGTCTGCAAAGCAATGGAGGTTAGCCGACTCCGTGGGCGCCGCATATACATTATCTGATCCAGCTGGAGGTGTGGAGCTGGCGGGTGCTTACAAGTAGCGTTGAACGGCGAGTCCTCGGCGTGCAGGGTCGTAAAGAATCCGGGGTCCGACGGCGGCCCCCTGCCCAGGGTGTTGACGCCGATGACGCGCGCCTCATACTTGGTACCCGGCGCCAGGCTGCGCAGGGCGTAGTACACGGTGCTGACGCCCTTGACCTCCTGGAACAGCGCGCCGGCCGCCGCGTGCGCCGCGCCGTCGGCCGAGCCCTTGCTCCGGTACTGCAGCACGTACTCGCCCGGGCCGTCCGCGGGCGCGCGCCACTCCAGCTTCACGTTGGTGGAGGAGATGTCGGTGGCGCGCAGGTCAGTGGGCGCGCCGGGCAGGGCTGCAAGGCAGAGATATACCGTCACTGTAACTGTTTCTCGCTGGGAGGAGGTGGGACTTGGAGCGATGTTTGCAACACTCACTCTGGACTTTGATCCTGGTGGTGCTGTGTATGACCCCGAGCGATGAGGAGGCAACGCAGGTGTAGTTGACGGACTCCTTGATGTTGTGCAGGTGGATGTGCGCACTCCCATAATCGCCCTTGGCGGCATCCTCGCGGTTCTTGTTCGTGTGGCTGTTGTTCTCAGTGTCGTCGTCGTCGTCCTCTCCGGGGACATCCACCTGCTCCGGCACCAGCATCAGCTCGTTGACTTCTTCGTCCTCGTCATCCTGGAGGTCAAGAAAGTGTTATTAGGGTGGTGTTTATTCCAGAATTGTTCTCGAAAAGGTATCTTCATGACACGCACCTGGTCGTCCTGGGGCTGGTCGCTTAGCGGCATATCCGACAGCATCGCGTCCTCCTTGGACGGCCTCCAGCGCACCCGCGGCATCGGCGACCCTGTGGCGGCGCACGACAGGTTGGCCGAGCCGCCCATCGGCACCTCTATGTCAGCGGTCGCCGGCAAGGTGAATGACGGCTGTATTCGGCGCACTGAAGGAAAGACAAGAAATCAGACGGCTGCAAGCAAAATGAACCGTATACCACGCACCAATTTACTCCACACAACCTCACCTTTGACGTAGAGCTGTATCGGCGCGCTAAACTGCGAGCCGACCTTGTTCTCCGCCACGCACTCGTAGCGGCCCATGTCGGACTCCTTGGCGGCGGACACGTTGAGCGAGCCGGACGAGCCCGAGGAGGCCGAGCTGATGATGAACACGCGGCGCTCGGGGGCGCCGTGCAGCGCGGGCGGGGCGGGCGTGGCCGCCAGCGGCACGCCGTCCTTGAGCCAGGTGATGGTGGGCGCGGGCACGCCCGTCGCGGAGCACGGCAGCACGGCCGAGTGGCCCGCCTCCACCACCCGCGACGTGAGCGAGTCGGCCACGGACGGCGACACCATGGGGAAGCCCGGCACCGGCGTCTTACCTGCGGCGCAAAGATTAGAGATTTGTTGACTGTCAACGATCTGAGTTTAGGATCATCTAGATAGTACGTCCATCATTGTTCACTTTGATCCTGCCAAGTTCAGTCACAATTAACCGTTTCTCTGCAACGGATCAAGAAGAAGAAAAAAAGATGTTTGCTTCAAGAACATAGCGCCCGGCCTATAAGAATACATGGGGCGGCCGCCATATTTCTGAAGCAAACATCTCCTTTTCTTCTTCTTGATCCTTTGCAGACAAACGGTTAATGTAAACTCTCATAGCGCCTGATGGGTAGGCAACACCATGTCTGCAATGCATGCGAGTACTGCGGGCTGGCCTACCCCGAGTCTCGCAGGCGCCGAGCTCCCGCCTCTCGCCGATGAATGGGAGAAAAAGAGACGTACTCTCTCGACGACCCCTTACAGCGCAACCTGTTTTTACGCAGGTGTACTTAACAGCATCTTTCACCTCGGATGAGATGTGGTTTAAGGGGGAGGGAGGGGGTAAGCAGCCCCCCCCCCTCCCCCCTCTGTCAACCGGACCATGTACCGCGCTTGTCTAGGAGAAACAAGCTCTCTGCACGTTTCGATTTAGAAGTTTGCTCCCGCCCTGACGCCGTGGCCGTGGTGCCCAGCACAAGACCTCCCCCCACGCAGCAGGAGGTCCCCAGGTGCCCCGTGTTCCACCAAGTTCAGAGCCGCTGCCCCGCTACTGCAGGGCTCAGGCCCGGCCGAGGGCCCGGCCACGCGTTGGCTGGGCCATGTGGTTGTTGATGTGCTGTCGGTCACCGTTAGGCGCGCAATTAGTCAGCAGCACAAGTTGCGGCCCAAGTCAGCGGGTCTGACAAGCTGCGCGGGGCGTGCGGGGCGTACGGGGCGCCCGCCCCGCAGCGCCTCACCTGGCCCCGTCGTGTCTTCACTAGCGTCTCGGCCGTCCCGCCCTGTAATATATCTCCGAGGGACGCGGCAGGACCAAGCCCACCCGCCCCCCTCCTCCCCTGTCCTGCCTCTCGCCGACAACAACAGCACGCTCTGCGCCCACCGCACCACCCCCGCCCCGGACACACCCACAATCGTGGACGGTGATAGCGGTTTCCGTTGCCGGATGCAAAGAGTCGCAGGGAAGTGGGGCGGGGTGGACGGGGTCGGGGACTTTTGCTTGAGAACTGGAAATGTACCCCGCGTTCTGGGGACTTTCAGAGCTCAGTGGCGGGAAAAGCGTCCCGATGTTCGCGTTCGCATCGCAGATGGCGCGGAAGGGGAGGAGGGTGTGAAAAAAAACAACAACGCAATACTCGCAAAGGTTTTGCCGGGTTCCGCAGGTTTCCGTTATTTCCGTCCTCTTTTGACGCACACTCTGTGCCCCCCCGCTCCTGTTCAAGAGACGTTTGCACTGCCTGCTCGTGTAACAAGTTCTGTACATCGTGGAGTATCGACAAACCGAGGCCGGCGCTAGCTCTGTCAAGTAGGCACCACCCAATGGCGGTAGGAATTGTACTACTCGCCAGGAATTAGTACTCAATTAGTACTCTCACCCTGTCAAATATTAGAATTTGTACTAACAAACTGTGGGCGCAATCCGAAAACGATGTGGGGCGGTGCGTGCATGACGTTTGCACCACCCAATTGTCCGATCCCA